AGCTACCTCCCTAGAGGAGCACCAGCTAACTCCCTAGAGGAGGACCAGCTACCGCCATAGAGGAGGACCAGCTACCTACCTAGAGGAGGACCAGCTACCTCCTGAGAGGAGGACCAGCTACCTCCCTAGAGGAGCACCAGCTACCTCCCTAGAGGAGGACCAGCTACCTCCCTAGAGGAGGACCAGCTACCTACCTAGAGGAGGACCAGCTACCTCCTGAGAGGAGGACCAGCTACCTCCCTAGAGGAGCACCAGCTACCTCCCTAAAGGAAGACCAGCTACCTCCCTAGAGGAGGACCAGCTACCTCTCTAGAGGAGGACCAGCTACCCCCTAGAGGAGGACCAGCTACCTCCCTAGAGGAGGACCAGCTACCCCCTAGAGGAGGACCAGCTACCTCCCTAGAGGAAGACCAGCTACCTCCCTAGAGGAGCACCAGCTACCTCCCTAAAGGAAGACCAGCTACCTCCCTAGAGGAGGACCAGCTACCTCCCTAGAGGAAGACCAGCTACCCCCTGGAGGAGGACCAGCTACCTCCCTAGAGGAGGACCAGCTACCTCTCTAGAGGAGGACCAGCTACCCCCTAGAGGAGGACCAGCTACCTCCCTAGAGGAAGACCAGCTACCTCCCTAGAGGAGGACCAGCTACCTCCCTAGAGGAGGACCAGCTACCCCCTAGAGGAGGACCAGCTACCTCACTAGAGGAGGACCAGCTACCTCCCTAGAGGAGGACCAGCTACCTCCCTAGAGGAAGACCAGCTACCTCCCTAGAGGAGGACCAGCTACCTCCCTAGAGGAGGACCAGCTACCTCCCTAGAGGGAGACCAGCTACCCCCTGGAGGAGGACCTGCTACCTCCCTAGAGGAAGACCAGCTTCCTCCCTAGAGGATGACCAGCTACCTCCCTAGAGGAAGACCAGCTACCTTCCTAGAGGAGGACCAGCTACCTCCCTAGAGGAGGACTAGCTACCCCCTAGAGGAGGACTAGCTACCCCCTAGAGGACGACCAGCTACCCCCTAGAGGAGGACCAGCTACCTCCCTAGAGGAAGACCAGCTACCCCCTAGAGGAGGACTAGCTACCCCCTAGAGGAGGACTAGCTACCCCCTAGAGGAGGACCAGCTACTTCCCTAGAGGAAGACCAGCTACCTCCCTAGAGGAGGACTAGCTACCCCCTAGAGGAGGACTAGCTACCCCCTAGAGGAAGACCAGCTACCCCCTAGAGGAGGACCAGCTACCTCCCTAGAGGAAGACCAGCTACCTTCCTAGAGGAGGACCAGCTACCTCCCTAGAGGAGGACTAGCTACCCCCTAGAGGAGGACTAGCTACCCCCTAGAGGAAGACCAGCTACCCCCTAGAGGAGGACCAGCTACCTCCCTAGAGGAAGACCAGCTACCTCCCTAGAGGAGGACCAGCTACCTCCTTAGAGGAGGACTAGCTACCCCCAGAGGAAGACCAGCTACCCCCTAGAGGAGGACAAGCTACCTCCCTAGAGGAAGACCAGCTACCTCCCTAGAGGAAGACTAGCTACCCCCTAGAGGAAGACCAGCTACCTCCCTAGAGGAGGACCAGCTACCCCCTAGAGGAGGACCAGCTACCTCCCTAGAGGAGGACTAGCTACCCCCTAGAGGAAGACCAGCTACCCCCTGGAGGAGGACCAGCTACCTCCCTAGAGGAGGACCAGCTACCTCCCTAGAGGAGGACTAGCTACCTACCTCATGCTATGTTTTACAACAGAGTATTAACATGATAATGAGAACAGATGGTGTTGAGGTAGCCATGAATTGTTCATTTGTTTGTTGACAGCTACAGCTACCTGTCTGTCTGTCTGTCTGTCTGCCTGGCTGCCTGCCTGCCTGCCTGCCTGTCTGTCTGTCTGTAGGGGATTTTCTCTTCTTCAGTGATGGTGAGTCAGACGGTACATAAAATGGTCCCTGGTGAACAGTAGTGCTCCACCATAAAGGTAGTACGGTGTCATTGGGAATGCTGTCTCAGGCACACAGCAGTTACAGCCCTCCGTGAATCAAGAGTAGGGATCCCAACCTTTATCCAAGAAAAGAGAGTGGTATGACACACAGGCTCACTGTTATGCACATCTGGCTTACACGATATAACACAATATAACACCACTCCATTAAACACTCAACACAACTCAACACAACACAGTATAACACAACACAACTCAACTCAACACAACAAAACTCAACACAACTTCACCTGGCATGTATGCTGGTACAACTCAAATAGCTCATCCATATGAATAACTATCCAAAGCCTTTGTCTACGTCCCAAATTGCGACCTATTCTCTATTTAGTGCACTACTCTGGTCCAAAGTAGTGCACTATATGGGGAGGGAATAGGGTTCCATTTGTGTGAGGTCTGTTAGTTTGGTTAGGGTAGCCCTGTTACCTCACACTCTCTTTCAACAGCCTGCTATCTGTCTCAGTCTAGACAGACAAGCTAACTGCTTCTGCTTTCCATGAACAGGTCTACGCCACCTGTTCAGTCTAATAGACGGCCTGTTTAGTTTGACTCCAATATCATTGGATTTTCAATGTACATTTTGACCTGTGTAATCCATGTTGTATACATAGAAAAGTCACATTATTTAGCCTAATGTGTATAATGTTTTCAAACGTTTTGTGTAATATGAGACATGTTCAAGGTACACGTCTAAATGGAATCCTTGGGATGTCCCAACTCTGACGTCACTCCGTTGAAGTTGATATTTAAAATGGTTAAGGTAAGGGTTAAGGTGTTGATGTAGTTCTGTCCTTGAACTGTTCTTGTCTATTAATGTTCTGTATTATGTCATGTTTCATGTTCTGTGTGGACCCAAGGAAGAGTAGCTGTTGCTTTCTCAACAGCTAATGGGGATCCTAATAAAACACCAAATACCAAAGGTTATGGTTAAGGTTAAGTAAGGGTAGGGTATGGGTTAAGGTTAGGGTTTAGGGTATGACGTCCCAAGGATCACAGATTGCACAAGTGACTAGCCCATTTTCAAGGGCTAGGGAGACATCTCCTGGTGAAGGGAGACAAGCACTAGTTTTATTTGTCTGAAATTAGCCAATCCAGACAAACCATTAGTCTTGGGGAAACCTCATGCCTTGCTAAATGTTTGTCCTGATTTTTTCCCCAACTCCTACACATTTGTACTTTTTCCCACTTTTATATTGTTTTCCAAATACAGGTGAAATTGTGTTTCCATAAACCACCTCACTTGCTATGCATGTGTTGGCCACTAGATGTAACTAGACCCCTTCAAATCTGAGCAATGAGCGCTCGCTCAAGACCACACGGTTGTTCATGTTGTTGCCCTCGTCTCTACATTTTGCTCAAGTCATAATCAGGTTTTAGAAAATAAAATAGTATTTGTCACATGCGCCGAATACAACGGGTTTAGACGTTACCGTGAAATGCTTACTTACGAGCCCTTCCCAATGATGCAGAGTTAAACAAAATAACACAAAGAAAAAATAAGACTATTAACACAAGACGAAGAGGAATAAAATACACAAGAGTGAAGCTATATACAGGGAGTACCAGTACCAGATCACTGTGCAGGGGTAATAGCTATATACAGGGAGTACCAGTCCCAGATCAATGTGCAGGGGTAATAGCTATATACAGGGAGTCCCAGTCCCAGATCAATGTGCAGGGGTAATAGCTATATACAGGGAGTCCCAGTCCCAGATCAATGTGCAGGGGTAATAGCTATATACAGGGAGTCCCAGTCCCAGATCAATGTGCAGGGGTAATAGCTATATACAGGGAGTCCCAGTCCCAGATCAATGTGCAGGGGTAATAGCTATATACAGGGAGTCCCAGTCCCAGATCAATGTGCAGGGGTAATAGCTATATACAGGGAGTACCAGTCCCAGATTAATGTGCAGGGGTAATTGCTATATACAGGGAGTACCAGTCCCAGATCAATGTGCAGGGCCAATAGCTATATACAGGGAGTACCAGTACCAGATCAATGTGCAGGGGTACGATAGTCACTTAATAAAAAAATAAAAAGTGATTATTTTTGTACTTGTTTGACATTTTACTGAATTGTTAGGACCTTGTAACATAAGCATTTCGCTGCACCCGCTATAACATCTGGTAAACTGTGAGGTGACTAAGCATCAGGATAGATATGAATAAGAATAAAGAACAGCGTCGCAGCAGCATATGATGAGTGTGTGCGTGTTTGCGTGTGTACGTGTGTGTTGTGTGTGTGCGTGGTGTGTGCGTGTGTGTATATGTGTGTATATGTGTGTGCCTATGTATGCCGTGTTCACAACAACTGGAAACTCGGAAATGGGAACTCGGAAATCTCCGACCTCCGACTTCAGTGCGTTTAAAACAACTGGGAACTCGGGGAAAAAAACGAGCTCCGACTGGGAAAAATCGATTTGAACGGTCATCCAACTCGGAATTCCAACTCGGGAACTGGACCTCTTTCTAGAGCTCCGACTTTCCAACCTGAAAATCACTGACGTCATGATTTGAACTCGTATTTTTCAGAGTTCCCAGTTGTTTTGAACGTGGCAGTAGTGTAAGTGAATGTGTGTGGTTTAGTGTGAGAGTGTCAGTGTAGTTAGTGTGTGTGAGTGAGTGTGTATATAGTGTTTTTTAGATTTCCATGAACAATTTTGTTGCTAAATCGGATCCAATTTTCTCTCCCGTTTTAAATAGCAGTTATGATGAGTTGAGAAAGATAGTTTATAAAAGGTACTTCTGACTGATTTCTATCTCGAGCAAAAGGCAAGAAGCCAACACACTCGTCAAATTCAGAAGGCGGGGCATTTCGCTATTCGGGGACACGCTCTGTACCTTTAGGGAAGACAGTATACTCCTCGCGTCCTCTCTGCGCTCTCCTCGTCTCTTTCTCAAAACCCATTGGATGAGAAAGCCATAAGTCCCGCCCCTCTGATATCCTCCTCCAATGGGTTTTGAGAAGGAGAGGAGGAGAGAGCAGAGAGGACGCGAGGACTATTCCCATATTGAGATATTCTCCTAGTCTCCGGACTCTACCAGTTGAAATTGCGTTGTAATGCTTTGATATTCTGGAATTTGCTTGTGTAGATCATTTTGTTGTTTACGTTGAATATCCAGAGCCTATCGGATCTATAACTATACATGTTGTATTAAATATGTTTCGGGATGGTGTCATTTGGGGAACCATGGACCGTGAGTGGAGAAGCGATTGGGTTTTAAATCTTGTCGGAGACTATTCTTCACTCGGTCTCACCTCTTGTCCGAGAGCGTTGGACTGAGCGGATCAAGCTACAGGCTGGAGCGGGTTTATTCTTTTATTTTCTGCATCAAGTCAAGGTTGTTTCACTCGTTCGGGGAATAGTTAACTAAAGCGAAAAGGATTGATTATTTGTATTAAATAGCCGAGGTTTTGTATTCAAATAGCCGAGGTTTCTTTCAACTCTTCAGAAGCTGCCCAGCTTGACCGTCAGACTGACCAGCACTCAGTTGTCCAGAAAAATGGAGGCTGTTATTGAGAAAGAATGTAGTGCGCTGGGGGGACTTTTCCAAAGTGTGATAGGCGACATGAAAGTAAGTCAAACCTATCAGTTCTGAATAATTGTGTTTATAACAGTGTACTTAACCTAGATAGATAGCTATTAGCTACTTATCTAACTCCATATTAACTCATTCAGTAACCTGTTCTGTAGGAATGGCCACTAAGGTTAGCTAGCTAGCTAAGTAGATAACGTTACCTGGCTGTCAGTTTTTTTGACAGTTGCTCCAGATATTGACAAGGCATGCATCATCATGTCATGGCTACTGCGAGCTATGAAGCTTATTGACTGAAGTGTATTGGGTCAAACAAAAATACTAGAATGGAGTTATACATTGATGAGGCAATGTTTTCTTCAAATGTCAAATGCGGTGTTATGCTATACAATCTATATTTTTCACCTCTGAACCTATTGTTGCTGTGGGTATCTAGGTTATTGTTCAGCAGGGGGTCTCTGCCTTCAAGGCTCTTGAAATATTAATCAGTTGCTGATGCAAAGGAGCTGTGTGTGTTTGTGTGTGTGTGTCTCTCTCTTTCTCTCTCCTCTCTCTCTATGGAGGTATAGTGTTGCACAGGGTGACATTCCTAAGGTCACTAATGCTACAAATCAATGTCAGACACATCATCCTTACTTAACTTCTCCTCAGTCTCCCAGATGGCAGCATATTCTCAGTATCCTTACTGACCTTCTCCTCAGTCTCCCAGATAGCAGCATATTCTCAGTATCCTTACTTACCTTCTCCTCAGTCTCCCAGATAGCAGCATATTCTCAGTATCCTTACTCACCTTCTCCTCAGTCTCCCAGATAGCAGCATAGTCTCAGTATCCTTACTTACCTTCTCCTCAGTCTCCCAGATAGCAGCATAGTCTCAGTATCCTTACTCACCTTCTCCTCAGTCTCCCAGATAGCAGCATAGTCTCAGTATCCTTACTTAACTTCTCCTCAGTCTCCCAGATAGCAGCATAGTCTCAGTATCCTTACTTAACTTCTCCTCAGTCTCCCAGATGGCAGCATAGTCTCAGTATCCTTACTTACCTTCTCCTCAGTCTCCCAGATAGCAGCATAGTCTCAGTATCCTTACTTAACTTCTCCTCAGTCTCCCAGATAGCAGCATAGTCTCAGTATCCTTACTCACCTTCTCCTCAGTCTCCCAGATAGCAGCATAGTCGCAGTATCCTTACTTACCTTCTCCTCAGTCTCCCAGATAGCAGCATAGTCGCAGTATCCTTACTTACCTTCTCCTCAGTCTCCCAGATAGCAGCATAGTCTCAGTATTACACTACTGGGCCCATTACTGTGTGTTCACAAAACAGACTCGATATCAAGTCTAATAGGTTAGGCCTGACACTTTATAGTCCATCATCACTTTGATTATCAGGTCTCCCTTGGAAAATAGGTATTTTGACCTCAATGGGACTACCTGGTAAAATAAAGGTTAAAAAAACAAACAAGTGTTTGTTTCTGACAGATGTTGTGCTCTGGGAAAACAAGATGTTCTGATGTTCCTGTACAGATGTTGTGCTCTGGGAAAACAAGATGTTCTGATGTTCCTGTACAGATGTTGTGCTCTGGGAAAACAAGATGTTCTGATGTTCCTGTACAGATGTTGTGCTCTGGGAAAACAAGATGTTCTGATGTTCCTGTACTTTGTGTTTGTTTCCACAGAGCAGCTACCCCATCTGGGAAGACTTTATCAGCAAGGCTGGGAAACTACAGTGTCAACTCAGGTGAGTCCTCATTATTATAATAATAATAATAATAATAATAATTATTATTATTATTATTATTATTATCACAGGTATACCCTTAACAAGAACACAGTCAGGACCATCTCATTATTATCACAGGTATACCCTTAACAAGAACAAGGTCAGGACCATGCACATTTTAAATTGGTTTTGTATAGTCAGACTTGGCCCAAAAGGGTTAGGCCTAAAGAACATGAGCTGTCCAATAAGTATCATGCTGTAGGAGAAAGTCCTAGAAAAAAGAGATGTTTCCAACTGTCCATCATTATTGGCTCCACCCCCCTAATCCCCAACCTCTACCCACCTATCTGAGATCTGTACCGGGTGGAATTGTAGGGCAGCTGTGGTTGAACTACATTGTAGTTACTAATAGTGTAGGGCAGCTGTGATTGAACTACATTGTAGTTACTAATAGTGTAGGGCAGCTGTGGTTGAACTACATTGTAGTTACTAATAGTGTAGGGCAGCTGTGGTTGAACTACAGTGTAGTTACTAATAGTGTAGGGCAGCTGTGGTTGAACTACAGTGTAGTTACTAATAGTGTAGGGCATCTGTGGTTGAACTACAGTGTAGTTACTAATAGTGTAGGGCAGCTGTGGTTGAACTACATTGTAGTTACTAATAGTGTAGGGCAGCTGTGGTTGAACTACATTGTAGTTACTAATAGTGTAGGGCAGCTGTGGTTGAACTACATTGTAGTTACTAATAGTGTAGGGCAGCTGTGGTTGAACTACATTGTAGTTACTAATAGTGTAGGGCAGCTGTGGTTGAACTACATTGTAGTTACTAATAGTGTAGGGCAGCTGTGGTTGAACTACATTGTAGTTACTAATAGTGTAGGGCAGCTGTGGTTGAACTACAGTGTAGTTACTAATAGTGTAGGGCAGCTGTGGTTGAACTACATTGTAGTTACTAATAGTGTAGGGCAGCTGTGGTTGAACTACATTGTAGTTGCTAATAGTGTAGGGCAGCTGTGGTTGAACTACAGTGTAGTTACTAATAGTGTAGGGCAGCTGTGGTTGAACTACAGTGTAGTTACTAATAGTGTAGGGCAGCTGTGGTTGAACTACAGTGTAGTTACTAATAGTGTAGGGCAGCTGTGGTTGAACTACAGTGTAGTTACTAATAGTGTAGGGCAGCTGTGGTTGAACTACAGTGTAGTTACTAATAGTGTAGGGCAGCTGTGGTTGAACTACAGTGTAGTTACTAATAGTGTAGGGCAGCTGTGGTTGAACTACAGTGTAGTTACTAATAGTGTAGGGCAGCTGTGGTTGAACTACAGTGTAGTTACTAATAGTGTAGGGCAGCTGTGGTTGAACTACAGTGTAGTTACTAATAGTGTAGGGCAGCTGTGGTTGAACTACATTGTAGTTGCTAATAGTGTAGGGTCTAGGCCTAGTTCTACTCCATTGTTCTCTGTGCTGAGTCTGTTAGTCTGAGTGCTGAGGGGTTGCTGAAGGATTGTCCCACCTAGGCCTAAACCCCCTAACCCCCATACCAGCCACTGAAGTGCAGGTCTCTGTGATCTTTGCTGTGTCTGGGTGGAATTGGAGGGAAGCTGTGGCTGTAACAGGATGGATGTCCTCCCGAGTGGCGCAGCGGTCTAAGGCACTGCATCGCAGTGCTTGAGGCATCACTACAGACCCGGGTTCGATCCCAGGCTGTGTCACAGCCAGCCGTGACGGGGAGACCCATGAGGCGGCGCACAATTGGCGTCGTCCGGGTTAGGGGAGGGTTTGGCCGGCCGGGATTTCCTTGTCCCATTGCGCTCTAGCGACTCCTTGTGGCGGGCTGGGCGCCTGCAAGCCGTCTTCGGTCACCAGCTTGATGGTGTTTCCTCCAACACATTGGTGCGGCTGGCTTCCGGGTTAAGCAAGCAGTGCGGCTTGGCAGGGTCGTGTTTCAGAGGCTCTCGACCATCGCCTCTCCTGAGTCCGTAGGGGAGTTGCAGTGATAGGACAAGACTGTAACTACCAATTGGATATCACAAAAAAGGGGTAAAAGTACAAAAAATAATAACAACAGGATAGTTCTGCTCCATTGTCCTCTCTGAGTCTGTTGGTTTGAGGGCTGCGATGTCCCACTAAAACCCCCACCCAGTCTAGCTACTACCTCTACCCACCTCTGGTGATCTCTGCTGGGTAGAATCGGAGGGCAGGCTGAATGGCAGCATGCATGTCTGTCTCTGTAATGATGTTAGGGTAGGGTTAAGTGCTCTGTAATCTAGCTCTCCTCTTCCACACTGCCTTCTAGGAAGTTATCTAATTATAGTTTTTAAGCCATCCGTTGCTTTTTGTGGCAAAATATGGTATTTTCTTCCCACAACTGGTTTTTACAACTTCACCCAACATAATGTTTCAGAAAATGTCGGTCGGTGTGTATTACTATCTAATCACAATATGGCTGCGTCCCAAATGACACACTATTCCCTACTTTTGACCAGAGCCCAATGGGTCCTGGTGGAAAGTAAAGGACTAAATAGGGAATAGGGTGTTATTTGGGTTGCAGCCTTACTCTAACATGCCTGTCCTTTCCTAGATAGATCAGAGATCCCACAGTCCATTTCAGACTTTCAGCCCGTTCCTCCCTAGTTTTCATATCCATGTTCAGCTAAACATTGAACTTGGATCAGGCTGGGCTTAAATAGCATATCACTCCGTATTTGGGGTTCAAATGTAATGTGTGTCCCAAATGACACCCTATTCCTTTTATAGTGCACTACCTCTTTTTTTTCTTTAGTCATTTTAGCAGACGCTCTTATCCAGAGCGACTTACAGTTAGTGAGTGCATACATTTTTTTCCCCAAATAATTTTCATACTGGCCCCCGTGGGAATCGAACCCACAACCCTGGCGTTGCAAGCGCCATGCTCTACCAACTGAGCTACACGGGACCTCTAACCAGAGCCGCATAGGGAATAGGGTGCCATTTGGGACTCACCCTTTATTTCTGGTTGGTTATCCAGATGCTAAAAGAAGACTGACAGCACAGCAAGTAGTGAAGAAGACATTACTGTTACTTCTGAGAAAAGAGCCATGGAGAATTGGAGTGTGTCCCAAATGGCACACCCTATTCCCTATATAGTGCACTACTTTTGACATGAGACTCTATAGGGCTCTGGTTAAAAGTAGTGCACAATAAAGGGAATAGGGTGCCATCTGGGACATAGACTTTCGGTGCCATGCAGAGTTTAGGCTACTTGTAGATACTTGAAGTAGGACAAAAATTGAGAGAAGAGGGAAATGTAATGTTTCATTGTCAGGCTGCCTACCGCTGCAGTACCTACCAGGGGAGGGGAGTTATGTAGGACCAGTACCTACCAGGGGAGGGGAGTTAGAGGACCAGTACCTACCAGGGGAGGGGAGTTATGTAGGACCAGTACCTACCAGGGGAGGGGAGTTATGTAGGACCAGTACCTACCAGGGGAGGGGAGTTATGTAGGACCAGTACCTACCAGGGGAGGGGAGTTAGAGGACCAGTACCTACCAGGGGAGGGGAGTTATGTAGGACCAGTACCTACCAGGGAAGGGGAGTTTAGAGGACCAGTACCTACCAGGGGAGGGGAGTTATGTAGGACCCATTAACCTACCAGGGGAGGGGTAGTTAGAGGACCAGTACCTACCAGGGGAGGGGAGTTAGAGGACCAGTACCTACCAGGGGAGGGGAGTTAGAGGACCAGTACCTACCAGGGGAGGGGAGTTATGTAGGCACCAGTACCTACCAGGGGAGGGAGTTATGTAGGACCAGTACCTACCAGGGGAGGGGAGTTATGTAGGACCAGTACCTACAGGGGAGGGAGTTATGTAGGGACAGTACCTACCAGGGGAGGGGAGTTATGTAGGACCAGTACCTACCAGGGGAGGGGAGTTAGAGGACCAGTACCTACCAGGGGAGGGGAGTTAGAGGACCAGTACCTACCAGGGGAGGGGAGTTATGTAGGACCAGTACCTACCAGGGAAGGGGAGTTATGTAGGCCCGGTACCTACCAGGGGAGGGGAGTTATGTAGGACCAGTACCTACCAGGGGAGGGGAGTTATGTAGGCCCGGTACCTACCAGGGGAGGGGAGTTATGTAGGCCCAGGTGATGGAAGTAATTTGTCGACTCAGTCTTTGGTGGAGATTTGTTGCAGGTGTTTTCTGAACAACATAGCTGTGAACACTGAACAATGCACAGTAGTATCCAACAGAGGCAAACACAACCAGAGGTTTCCCCTGTAGTGGATCTCCTCTCCCTTTAAATAGAGTGGAATGTGTGTGTGGAGTGGAGAGTGTGTGTCTGTATGTCTTTCTGTGTGTGCTTGTGCGTGTGTGTGTGTGCGTGGGCGGGCCGGCGGGCGGGTGTGTGTGTGTGTATTTTTCCGCCAGAGACTAGCAACACACCCTTGTGTCTAGTGGTTAGCTCCAGCTCTCTACAGCACAGTCTGTTGTAATATCATTACAGGTTGATAAGGACAGTATTGTTCATTCATTGTCAAACGTATGTTAGTCATTTGACTTCAGACGTATAACTTTTAAGTTGATAAAGAATTCTGTTGTTCTGGGACAGACTGTACGTCCCAAATGGCACCCTATTCCATATATAGTGCACTACTTTTGACCAGAGCCCATAAGAGTAGTGCACTATATAGGACAGTCAATATTGCCACTTCTCCATGGCCTCTGTGTGACCTGTACTGTAGACTATGTTGTCCAACCACACAGATCTAGTGTAGGCCCTGGTCAAAAGAAGTGGACCATGTAGGGGATCGGTTGCCATTTGGTACACAGTTGTACTGAACGTATGTTTTTGACCAAAGAGAGCTGCATAAGTCCTTGGCATGCTAAGATGGCACGCAGAAACAATGTTTAGATCTGCTTCACCTACTGTCAGTCCTATCACCAGCTAAGCCCTGGGCATGCCTTACTGGTCTGACAGACACTTGTGTTTACGTCTCTACGTCACCTGCTGTCACTCTGACTACTGTCATTGTTCTCAGCGTTCCAGAGGTGTGTTCTGTGTTCCGTCTGTAGTGTGTTTGGATAGTCTACGGTTTCTGGTTTTGTTTGTGTCACGTAGCCTGGAGACTGATAGTACTCCCATCCCATGTAGATGAAATCCAAGACCAGTTAACAATGGTTTGTGTGTGTCACATAGAAACTACTGCTGAGATCCAAGACTAGTTAACAGCCCTGCCTACGTCTCACTAACCCTAACCCTGAGATCTTAATCACGTGACGCACCTCAGCAGTCAAAGCACTTGACTCTGATGAGCTACAAAGATTTCAGACGGGTCCTTTCCACACACTGAAAGCCAGACAAGACATTCCAAGCATTTCAACAGCTTAGCCATTCAGACTGATAGTTCTACTATGAAGAAATGCTGTAGGCCGATCTATGCCTGTTATCATGGTCATTAAGGGCCATTAATCGAGATGTTAAAGTGAGACCCGTGGCCAGACAGACACAAAGGAAACACATTCTTATTGTCTTGTTGTGAATGAACGTCAGCTAACAGTATAGGTCTAATAACACTATAATAACTAGCAACCCCTGCCCATTTCCCTTGAAACAACAGTCGATCTCAGATAGAGATAGCTAACTGCTTGAACCAGGTCCAACCATATTTACGTCCTAAATGGCACCCCATTCCCTAAAGTGTACTACTTTTGTATAGTACTGCACCATAGGGAATAGGGTGCCATTTGGGACCCTACCCCATGGCTAATCATGTGCCCGGTCGGTCGGTACATGTGTGTTCAGTTCAGTTAAGGGTAGTTTAAATGAGGGCCAAAGCGTGACCAGCTGGGTTCTGCTTCTGTTTCTGTTTTCAGGGCAACGGTGGTTGCAGCTGCAGCGTTCCTGGATGCCTTTCAGAAAGTGGCTGACCTGGCCACCAGCACACGAGGTAAGACCATGTATCCGTCCAGGGGTGAGGGGATGGGGGGGGTGAGGGGAGAGGGGAAGCTGTGGGGGTATGAGGTGCAGAGGTCTTTGACATAGGCACTCAAATCAAATCAAATCAAATCAAATTTTATTGGTCACATGCGCCGAATACAACAGGTGCAGACATTACAGTGAAATGCTTACTTACAGCCCTTAACCAACAGTGCATTTATTTTAAACAAAAAAGTAAGAATAAAACAACAACAAAAAAGTGTTGAGAAAAAAAGAGCAGAAGTAAAAATAAAGTGACAGTAGGGAGGCTATATATACAATAGAATAAAGTGACAGTAGGGAGGCTATATATACAGGGGGGTACCGTTGCATAGTCAATGTGCGGGGGCACCGGCTAGTTGAGGTAGTTGAGGTAATATGTACATGTGGGTAGAGTTAAAGTGACTATGCATAAATACTTAACAGAGTAGCAGCAGCGTAAAAAGTATAAAAAGTATGGGGTGGGGGGGCAGTGCAAATAGTCCGGGTAGCCATGATTAGCTGTTCAGGAGTCTTATGGCTTGGGGGTAGAAGCTGTTGAGAAGTCTTTTGGACCTAGACTTGGCACTCCGGTACCGCTTGCCGTGCGGTAGCAGAGAGAACAGTCTATGACTAGGGTGACTGGAGTCTTTGACAATTTTGAGGGCCTTCCTCTGACACCGCCTGGTATAGAGGTCCTGGATGGCAGGGAGCTTTGCCCCTGTGATGTACTGGGCCGTACGCACTACCCTCTGTAGTGCCTTGCGGTCAGAGGCCAAGCAGTTGCCATACCAGGCGGTGATGCAACCAGTCAGGATGCTCTCGATGGTGCAGCTGTAGAATTTTTTGAGGATCTGAGGACCCATGCCAAATCTTTTTAGTCTCCTGAGGGGGAATAGGCTTTGTCGTGCCCTCTTCACGACTGTCTTGGTGTGTTTGGACCATGATAGTTCGTTGGTGATGTGGACACCAAGGAACTTGAAGCTCTCAACCTGTTCCACTACAGCCCCGTCGATGAGAATGGGGGCGTGCTCAGTCCTCTTTTTTTTCCTGTAGTCCACAATCATCTCCTTTGTCTTGGTCACGTTGAGGGAGAGGTTGTTGTCCTGGCACCACACGGCCAGATCTCTGACCTCCTCCCTATAGGCTGTCTCATCGTTGTCGGTGATCAGGCCTACCACTGTTGTGTCGTCGGCAAACTTAATGATGGTGTTGGAGTCGTGCCTGGCCATGCAGTCATGGGTGAACAGAGAGTACAGGAGGGGACTGAGCACGCACCCCTGAGGGGCCCCCGTGTTGAGGATCAGTGTGGCAGATGTGTTGTTACCTACCCTTACCACCTGGGGGCGGCCCGTCAGGAAGTCCAGGATCCAGTTGCAGAGGGAGGTGTTTAGTCCCAGGATCCTTAGCTTAGTGATGAGCTTTGAGGGCACTATGGTGTTGAATGCTGAGCTGTAGTCAATGAATAGCATTCTCACGTAGGTGTTCCTCTTGTCCAGGTGGGAAAGGGCAGTGTGGAGTGCGATAGAGATTGCATCATCTGTGGATCTGTTGGGGCGGTATGCAAATTGGAGTGGGTCTAGGGTTTCTGGGATTATGCTGTTGATGTGAGCCATGACCAGTCTTTCAAAGCACTTCATGGCTACAGACGTCAGTGCCACGGGTCGGTAGTCATTTAGGCAGGTTATCTTAGAGTTCTTGGGCACGGGGACTATGGTGGTCTGCTTGAAACATGTTGGTATTACAGACTCAGTCAGGGACATGTTGAAAATGTCAGTGAAGACACTTGCCAGTTGGTCAGCACATGCTCGGAGTACACGTCCTGGTAATCTGTCTGGCCCTGCGGCCTTGTGAATGTTGACCTGCTTAAAAGTCTTACTCACATCGGCTACGGAGAGCGTGATCACATAGTCGTCCGGAACAGCTGGTGCTCTCATGCATGCTTCAGTGTTGCTTGCCTCGAAGCGAGCATAGAAGTGGTTTAGCTCGTCTGGTAGGCTTGTGTCACTGGGCAGCTCGCGGCTGTGCTTCCCTTTGTAGTCTGTAATAGTTTTCAAGCCCTGCCACATCCGACGAGCGTCAGAGCCAGTGTAGTATGATTCAATCTTAGACCTGTATTGACTCTTTGCCTGTTTGATGGTTCGTCGGAGGTCATAGCGGGATTTCTTATAAGCGTCCGGGTTAGAGTCCCGTTCCTTGAAAGCGGCAGCTCTACCCTTTAGCTCAGTGCGGATGTTTCCTGTAATCCATGGCTTCTGGTTGGGGTATGTACGTACGGTCACTGTGGGGACGACATCATCGATGCACTTATTGATGAAGCCAGTGACTGATGTGGTGTACTCCTCAATGCTGTCTGAAGAATCCCGGAACATGTTCCAGTCTGTGCTAGCAAAACAGTCCTGTAGCTTAGCATCTGCGTCATCTGACCACTTTTTTATTAGCCGAATCACTGGTGCTTCCTGCTTCAGTTTTTGCTTATAAGCAGGAATCAGGAGGATAGAGTTATGGTCAGATTTGCCAAATGGAGGGCGAGGGAGAGCTTTGTATGCGTCTCTGTGTGTGGAGTAAAGGTGGTCTAGAGTTTTTTCCCCTCTGGTTGCACATTTAACATGCTGGTAGAAATTAGGTAGAACGGATTTAAGTTTCCCTGCATTAAAGTCCCCTGCTACTAGGAGCGCTGCATCTGGATGAGCGTTTTCCTGTTGATTAATGGCCTTGTACAACTCATTCAGTGCAATCTTAATGCCAGCATTGGTTTGTGGTGGTAAATAGACAGCTATGAAAAATATGGATGAAAACTCTCTTGGTAAATAGTGTGGTCTACAGCTTATCATAAGATACTCTACCTCAGGCGAGCAAAACCTTGAGACTTCCTTAGTATTTGATTTTGTGCACCAGCTGTTGTTTACAAATATACAGAGACCGCCACCCCTCGTCTTACCCGAGTCTGCCGTTCTGTCCTGCCGATGTAGCGTATAGCCTGCTAGCTGAATGTTATCATTGTCGTCGTTCAGCCACGACTCTGTGAAACATAAGATATTACAGTTTTTAATGTCCCGTTGGTAGGATAACCGTAATCTTAAATCGTCCATTTTATTCTCCAAAGCTTGAACGTTGGCTAATAGGATTGATGGGAGAGGCAGTTTACTCGTTCGCCGTCGGATCCTTACAAGGCACCCGGATCTGCGTCCACGATATCTCCGTCTCTTCCTCACGCGAATGACGGGGATCTGGGCCTTGTCGGGAGTCTGTAGAATATCCTTCGCGAACGCCTCGTTGAAGAAAAAGTGTTCGTCCAACGCGAGGTGAGTAATCGCTGTCCTGATATCCAGAAGCTCTCTTTGGTTATAAGAGACGATGGCAGAAACATTATGTACAAAATAAATTACAAATAACGCGGAAAAACACACATAATAGTACAATTGGTTAGAGGGCTGTAAAACGGCAGCCATCTTCTTCCGGCGCCGCTCATACAGCCCCATAGACAATGGGAGCAGAATCAGTGGAATTAGGAAGTGTGTTCTACTGTTCTGTTGTCCTGTTGGTCATGCTGAACATCCTGTGATGGAATCATGTGTGAAGTTGAACATCCTGGCTGAGGTGGATTTATTAGTCTATAGTTAGCATACTGCACTACAACATGTGGTAATTATAAGTCTATAGTTAGCATACTGCACTACAACATGTGGTAATTATAAGTCTATAGTTAGCATACTGCACTACAACATGTGGTAATTATAAGTCTATAGTTAGCATACTGCACTACAACATGTGGTAATTATTAGTCTATAGTTAGCATACTGCACTACAACATGTGGTAATTATTAGTCTATAGTTAGCATACTGCACTACAACATGTGGTAATTATTAGTCTATAGTTAGCATACTGCACTACAACATGTGGTAATTATTAGTCTATAGTTAGCATACTGCACTACAACATGTGGTAATTATCGTCTTGTTCCCATTCCCTACTGGTTCAGGGGTCATTCTGTTTTAAAGCCCTGGGAGTCCCACCAGTTTAGCCAAAAGCCCAAGCACCTGAGCTCACTGGCTGACAGGGGAAGGGGCATAACCTCATAACCCCTGATCTTCAGAGGGCTTTTGCCTTTGTTTATAGGGGGCGGGGGTAGTTGGCTATGGAATGTTTCAGGTCCTCAGAGTAGAGATTATAGAAAGACTAGTGTTAGCCTATCAGCAGCCTACCACACAGTGATTATTGGCTCCTTGAAGTACTATGGCTAATGCTTTCTTGGGCAGCCTGCTTGAATTATTTGGACCAGGTCTGTCTGCTGGTGCAGTGGAGGCCATGTTGGTTGAGGGCGAGCAGGGGAGGGGAAGATGAAGGGGTCAGGTGGTTAATCCTGTGGGTTGTAAATCCCTCAGGCTGCTGTTTGAAGCCGTGACACCGCCCTCACTCTGCCCACACGGCCCTCTCCACCCTGCCTACCACTGATCAAACACACACACACACACACCACATCTGGCATCAGTAGGCTACACTTACTCATACAGTGAACTAGTGATGGGGGGAAAAAATTGATACAGCTACATATCGGGATATAAATGTTTATGATATATTGTATTTTATCATTTTGACAATATCGCAATATTATTTTTGCTCTAGTTGGCTGGACCTGCACCAAAACTCCAGTATTTTTCCTTCATAGCTTGTTCTCCATCTTCTTTTTAAATAGGGAGCCAGTTTGTTTTCAGCACTTTTATTTCCATGACTGATCAAAACTCGTTTTCTCATGGCTCTCTCTTGTCCCTCTGCAGCAGACATATGGTGAGCAATATGTTTGGAACATCTAATCGCAATAAAATCACAGTATTGAATCGCAATACATATAGAATCGTGAGGATCGTAATACATATCGTATCGGCACCTGAGTATCGTGATAATATCGTATCGTGAGGTCCCTGGCAATTCCCAGCCCAATTTTGTGTGTGTGTGTGTGTGTGTGTGTGTGTGTGTGTGTGTGTGTGTGTGTGTGTGTGTGTGTGTGTGTGCTTGTGCGTGTGTATAAGTATGTGTAAGTGTGTATAAAGAGCTGCTGGCTGTATAAAGAGCTGCTGGCTATATAAAGAGCTGCTGGCTGTAGAAATAGCTGCTG